GAACTTGCTATCTTTCTGGTTAAATCCTTTGTTTTTTGGTGAAGAAGATTGAACTAACATCTGTTGCCAGTCCTCCTCTTTTTGCTGAGGAAGATTAACCCTGAGCTAACATCTGTGCCCATCTTCCTCTATTTTTTGTATGTGGGAGGCTGCCACACAAGGCTTAACAAGCGGTGCTTAGGTCCACGCCCAGGATTTGAACCTGTGAACCCTGGGGTGCCGAAACGGAGCACGCAAACTTAACCACTTTGCCAACGGGCCGGCCCCCAAATCCTTTTTTTAAATAAGTTAAGTGTTCACTGAAACCTTTAGCAATTAAAAACTAGTCCAAAAAAGAGAAGCTATTTCCCTTTCCTTTTGATTTGGAGGAAAGTTGCTCTTTATAGCACATTGACAATTTGTTTTTGTCATTTGGTAAGAATTAGAATAGTAAACATAAGAAATATCCAAGTGGCAACATCAATATTTATGCAGGGCTGAAATTAAAAGGGGAGCTCTGATCTGGAAATGAACAGAGGCCATCCCATTACTTATCACATGTAGATGGTGTTTAAAGCTACAGGTCTGGTGAGATGACCATAGAAAGCAAGTATAGAGTGAGATAAGGGGGGTGGGTGTAGGACCCAGTGTTGAAGGAACTCTTACCATTTAATTGCCGGGTAGAAGAGGCTGAGAGAGAGTGTGGTATTTCAAGAAAGAGGGAGTGGTCATGAGTATCATATGCTGTTTCAAAAGTCCAGTCAGACAGGGACTGAAAAACGTACGCTAGGTTTGGCAGTGGAGAAGTCTTCAGATGTCTCAATGAAACTGTTTTGGTGTGGTGGCAGGGTGAAACCAAGGTGGCATGCACTGAGGAAGGAGCTGTAGTATTTCATCATAGTATTTGGCATTTTAGGGTAGGGAGCGTGGTGGGCAGTAAAAAGTTAACCATGATTAAAGGAGAAAAAAGGATGAAGTTGAGGTGGAAATTTGGATATACAAGGGAGAGAAGAGATTATCCATAGTGTAAAAATTCTCCTTTTCTCTACTCCCTGCAAAGAAATAATGATGGTGGAGACCAGACCTTTCGTTCTTGTATTTTGTATTTTCTCAGAAAAATGTTCAACTCCTGTCTTCTGTCAGTTTCTCTTTTTATTCTGTTTCCATAGCTTTACCCACTAGCTCTTTATCCCTGGCCCCTCTCCTAAGTTCCAGTTATGAATTTTTTAATTCCCTGATAGAACTCTTTACCTAATTGTCTTGTGGCTCCTCAAATTCAACATGTCCAGCTGAATTAATCATTTCCTTTTCAGGATGACATAATTTACTAGTAACTGTATGTCTTTCACTAAGAAATCCTTCCAGTTGCTGAGGGTCTGTCTCTCTGGGTCTTACATTGTCTCGTTGGTCTCTTCTCTTCCCCATTGTATCCTCACCCTCACCCTCAATCTCTGCTTGGTAGACTCAGATTCACAAAGGTACTTTTTGAAAGAATATTCCCCAAATAAATCCAAATTAATTTGTTCTACCTCATTTAATATAGTGTTATCCATAAAATCACTTATTTTGTTATTTTTGACCTTTTATCCATTATGTGAAAAACAGTAAAAAACACAAACCCATCATTTCTGTGACAATGGGAAGTAAATTGAAGGTTTTATGTGCCTCTGTATTAGCATAATTTATAGTTAATAATTGTATATGTGAAAGTTTTCTGATTATAAGATTTTTATACAATTTTTTTGTATGTAGACAAAGTGCCATACCTAACAATTTCCTTCTTTCTCTGAAGCTAACATATTTAAAGAAACAAAATATATGTATTTTACTTTGGTTTTCTGTTATTTGAGGAAATTACTACAATTATAAACCCAATTTCATTATATTTAAATCTATTGATTGAATTTTAATTTTTGAATTATATTTTACGGATTAATAGCACATTTTTTAAGTAGAGCTATCAGAACATGATAAGGAAGATAAGTTTTCATTTTATGTGGACCTATCTTTATTTTAAAGTACTACTTCATACACACTGGAAAATCTTACTTTGTTTTTTGAATATGATTGTTCATAGTATAGTGGAAACTGCCATATTATTGCTAGATCTTGAACTTTGAGGTGGAATTCTGATAAACACCCACAGCAAAAATTTTAAGATGCCTGCAAGCTTTTGCACTGTTAAAAAGACACCCACATCAATACTCAGCCTTGGAAAAAGTAGCCTATTAAGTACATACATCTTTAGTTTTCTCTTGATAGAGATAGGAAGAGAAGTATCTTTCTGTGTATATTAGAGACATTATATTTTCTTGTAATACTTGGAGGTTATATAATATTTTAAAGTTTTCTTTCACAAAAACTGAAGAGAACTAAATATCCTCGAGTGAAAACTGCGGAACTTATGTCTACTTTAAATTTCATTGAATTAACTGGCAAACTCTTTGTTCTGGCTTTGAGTAATTGAACAGTTGAGTCGTCCATCCCTATGAGGAGTCATTTTTTTAATTTGTGATCGTCATTGACACTCTAGTGTCTAGAACACATCTAACCCTGGAAGTAAAGCCAAAGTGGGTTGCTTTTGTGATTCTGCTACACAGGCCCCTGGTAACATTTTTTTTTCTATTTATACATATTTCTAACAAGTTTAATGGTTACTGTTTTACATGTTTATACCAGATTCTAAGTGAGGAAGAGGGATAACAATAGGCAGACACATTGACTGAAATGAAGAGTGACAGTCTGCAGTCTGATACAAAAAAAGAGAAAATGACCAGAAGTAGTCACTTCAAAAAGTATTTCATGACCTAGCAGTTCTACTCCCAGGTGTATACCCAAGATAAATGAAAACATATGTCCACACGAAAACTTGTACACAAATCTTCACAGCAGCATTATTCATAATAGCCAAAATGTGGAATCAGGCCAAATCCTTAACTGATGAATGGATAAACAAAATGTGGTGTATCCATACGATGGAATATTATTTGATCATAAAAAGGAGTGAAGTACTGATACATACTATAACATAGATGAACTTGAAAACGTTATGCTAAGTAAAAGAAGCCACACATAAAGGCCACATATTGTATGATTCCATTATTTCATTTATATAAATGTCAGAATAGCAAATCAATAGAGACAGCAAGTCAATAAGTGATTGCCAGGAGCTGGAGGAAAGGGGAAATAGGGAGTGACTGCTAATGGGCATGGAGCTTTTTGGAGGATGATAATAATGTTCTAAAATTGATTGTGGTGATAATTGTACAACTTTGTGAGTATACTAAAAATCATTGACTTGTGTACTTTAAATGGGTGGGTTGTGTGGTATGTGAATTATAGCTCAATAAAGCTGTTAAAAGTATAGCAGATTGGGATAATTAAAAAAATTTTTTTTATGGGAGCAGTTCTATATACTATGAGCCTTTGGTATCCTCTTATAGTATAATACAGTAGTCACTGGTACCGTAGACAGTAGTTATGAAACTGTGTGTTCTATGGGAAATTATTATAATTTATTTCTCCTAGGATCTGTTTAAAAAATTGGTGAACTATCAGAAGTGGTTAACATTAAAGTTCACTTTTAAGTTCTTAGTGATCTTATAATGACTTATTTTCCATGTATTTCATGTAGTTGAAGTTATAGCTGTGTATTAATGCAAACATGGGGATTAGTTTAAAATTTGATTATTTTTCTCTTAATATTAAAAACCTAAGTAATTTTCAAAAAAGTATACTTAAATTATTGCATCTTATAATGTTTCTTCTGTTGCTTAAAAATGTAAGAATTAGCAATAGTTAAGTTATATAAATAAAGAATCTAAGAGCTAATCTGGCTTGATAGCACATTGGAAAACCATATAGCAATAATGCATTAATTCACATTAAATGAGTCTACTTGGTTAGTAGATATTAGTCAAGGAAAAAAGGGAAGTTTGGATTATTACATAGATTTTGCTTTGTGGTAGCACAGAACTTGCTATAGCACATTTCTATGAAATAGTAGAACCACTGAAAATGGTTTTCTAAAAAGTACTGTAGGAAATCTAGATCACAGCTTTCAAGATTAAATGATAATTAATTTAGTTGGCTCTTCTGCATTTAAAGAATAAGTTTGAAATGTAGCTGTATTTTATTCCCTGCTATTGAGATATGGGTAGAGGAAGAACTGTGGGGATAGTGTTAGGGAAGTGATTCTAGATCTAGTCTCTCAACACCTCCGTCCACCTTTCATGACCTGTTTAAGGCACTGTTACTGGTTTGGAAATTTTTCATGTGCCTTGGGTGTGTTGGGACTAAACAAAAATTGAGAACCATGGAGAGAGAGAGAAAGAGAAGGTAGAGAACAAAAAACGAAGAATTATTGAATCAGAGGTGAAGCATAAAAACCTCAGAAGGAAACACTAGTTGTGAAAATGTGTTGAGTCAACCAATTCATGTCTGAATCTGAGAAAAATTACAAAGGAAAGAATGAAGAGCACTGAGTGACTGAATGAATGCAGATAAGGAGTGAGAAAAAGGGAGGAGTTACGAGTGAATCTTGGGATCCATGGGAATCCTACTGTCATGAACTATAAAGGGAAAACTGTTCATCGGTGATGAAGAGAAGTTTTAAATTGTTAACGTTGAAATTTCCTATGTAGGAAAGATGGCAGCTAGGCAATGTGAAGATGTGGCTGGAGAGACAAGGTCTGAATTGACTGACCTAGCTGGTCTATACTTAGCAAACAGTAGTCATTGTGTTCTCCAGACACCACCAAAGTGTAATTAAAATTTGAAATTATTAAAATGGGTTTACTGTCATGATAAGATTTTAAATTTTTAGAGCTCTGAATAGTTAAGCTTTTCTTCTACTTTATTGCTTTACATTTTCCTGAGGTAAAATATTAGAAACTCTTGATTCCTGGAAATCTATGTCCTCTTAAACGTGGTTAAGCGTATTTAGTGATGTTTGTTTTTATCAGGTGCTTTTAAATTTAAAATAATTCTTAAGCATAATTCATATTTCCTTTTAAAACCAGGAACCTTTTGAGGATGGCTTTGCAAATGGGGAAGAAAGTACTCCAACCAGAGATGCTGTGGTCATATATACAGCGGAAAGCAAAGGAGTTGTGAAGTTTGGCTGGATCAAGGGTGTATTAGTATGTACCTATAGACTTAATTTTAGAGTTATTGCATTGATATTTACTATAAAATCTTTCTAATATTCTCATTAATTCTCAAGAGAACTCTTCTTTCTCTTTTTATAAACTTTTATCTGAGTGTTGTAGAAGAACAAATTAATTTGTACCTCCTTTCCTTGTGGCTATTAAATTCAGAAAAGGAAATATGACATATTTATTAATTTAATCAGATTATACTTGATTACCTCTAAATTGTACTTTATTACCTCTTGTGAATCTCACACATTTCACAATTAAGAATGAACCTATTAAATTGATGGGAGCATCGGAATCAAGCAAGTCGGGCAGGCAGTAGAGCTGAAATATGCCTGCGTCCTTCCTCGCTGCCTCATTACCTTTTGAAGAGAAATGTATAGAAGTTAACAGACAACAGAATAAAGGAGAAATCCTTTTCTTAAGTGTTGATCACTTCAGTAGACAGATTGAAGTGATTCAAGTTCAGATTTACTTCTGTTTTTCTGTCTTTGAACAGGCACGAAGGATCTGACTAGAGCAGACGGGGTAAAATGACCTCTTATTGGGATTTTGAAGTTGTATTGAAGTTGTATTGACATTTTGGGGAGAAGTAGAGGGAAAATCCCAGTTCTAGTAGTAATTTTATTGCCTAAGCAATAGAGTAAATGAGAAGCTCGGTAGTATTGTTTGCCTATTCTTAGATTTTAGTGTTTTAGAAAACTATGTTCTATGTGTGAGCATAACAAATAAAAATAAATTGGGGAAAATGTCTCACAGATAGTTTATATTTTTGAAAGATGTGTGAACAACTGTCATTTCGTGTTGACAAATATTATGTAATACTTAAAGCTGTTGTAGAAATCATGAAATCAGGATGTTATAAAATTATAAGCAAAAATTAAACTTACTTCTATTGATAAAGGGGAACATGAACTACGTTTTTTAGGACCGAAGTCTTAAAATATTTCTTGTACCTTTCTTGTTCCATTGCTTCTGGTGCTTCAGATAATTATGGAGGTGTGTGTGTATATGTGTATATGTACGTATAGTCATATATTACATTATACTTAGCTCACATGTAAGATCTCATTAAGCTCTTTAAAAAAACTTAAAGAAAACGATGGGATAAGAGTTAGATTTAATACAACTTTCTGTAGTTTTAAACGTATGTTATCCTACTTTTGGCTAGTTTAGTATTTACTGCTGTATTATATTTGATCACTTTTCTTCATCTATGACGACCTCTTTTTCTTTCCTAGGTACGTTGTATGTTAAATATTTGGGGTGTGATGCTCTTCATTAGATTGTCATGGATTGTGGGTCAAGCTGGAATAGGTAAGTGAAATAAGATACTGCTTGATTCACTTGAGAATGAATAAGCAAAGTGCTGTGTGTGTATCTAGGCTCTGAATCTCATAAAATTCAAGTAAATGGAATCATTCTAACCTGTATTCTCCTTTGTATCAGATTGTTGTTTTAATGTTACTTTTTTCATAATTCTGATTTGATTTTTCTAAAATGGGATAAAAATAAGGTAATTTATGGGGGCCAGCCTGCTGGCATAGTGGTTAAGTTTGCATGCTCCACCTCAGCAGCCTGGGGTTCACAGGTTCGAATCCCAGGCATGGACTTACGCACTGCTCATCAAGCCATGCAGAGATGGTCTCCCACATACAAAATAGAGGAAGATGGGCACGGATGTTAGCTCAGGGCTAATCTTCCTCAGCAAAAAGAGGAAGATTGGCAAGGGATGTTAGCTCAGGGCCAGTCTTCCTCACCCAAAAAATAAATAAGTAAAAATAAGGTAATTTATAAGTTATAATGTAAATTCATTATACTCAGACTAACCAGTTCTAGATATGACATGTTTAAATAAGAGTATAAGTATTCTCAGTCTCTTTTCTTTTTCCCTGAAGGTCTTTCGGTCCTTGTAATAACAATGGCCACTGTTGTGACAACTATCACAGGATTGTCTACTTCAGCAATAGCTACTAATGGATTTGTACGAGGAGGTAAATTCAGTCTTTTCACGTCATTGTCATCGGATTACTTTTACTAAGTAAATTGAGATTTAAATCTTCTAATTATTTTTTGCCTTAAAAAAACAACATATCAGGTCTGCATAGGCAAGAAAGTTGCTACTAAGCACTTTCAAACTAGTACATTTGAATATTGTAAAATTTGATATTGACCCATACACAAACATGTACGCTTTAAATTATTTATGGTGTTCAGTGTATTTAGTAGCAAGAATGGAGCTTCTAACTGGGTTTCTTCTCCACCAGGCTGCCCTTTATTACCTCCCCACAGGCTTCAGCTCTTGGATTATTAGCATGTATCCTGCATTTGGTCAGTATTGTATAGGTGTAACCTCATTCCTCCCCATTGAGGGAAACTTCGAGTTCTTTCCCCATGATTTAATAGCTTGTGTGAGTTACACCTGGGACTCTGAATCCATACTCTCAACTCGAGCTCTCTGCTCTGGGTGCTCTGAGGCCTCTTTCTTGGAGTCCACAAGATCTGCCTTGTGAGATTTTACCCTCCCTGGGAAGAACACCGAGGAGGCCAGGAGCATGGCCTTCAGACCCCTGAGAACAAGAAGAGAATTCCATTCTCCACACCTAAGCTCATCATTCAGCTGGAGTGAGGAGAAGGTCCCTAGAAAAAGGAGAGAGAATGTATCCCAGCTCCTGTAAAGTCATCATGGCAGATCAACTGAGGAGAGAATCAGCCTGTTCCATCTGCCTCAACTATTCTGCAGATGGGTATTTGATATTATATGTACACAGTTTCTGCTTTATCTGCATCAGGTATTTGGAGAAAGAGAGAGAGAACCAGATTGAGCTTTTCACATTTCCCCATCGTCTTTGTATTTCTTATGTAGCAGAGGAGCCGAAGCACTATGGCTCTGGGACAAGCTGGTAGTTCACATCAGCGTGACTATGACTATGCTGAGCATGCATCACTGCTGAAGTTTTATGTGTACATGAATCTACATGTAGATTGAGCTATATTGGGGTATAAGATGTGGATATGTCCAACAGAGTTAATCAAACAATACTGAGAGATTCTTTTTGGCTTCTTGTGGACTGGGTGCCCCATGCTTCATTTCTTTCTGCTACTATTGGGGAATGAAAGCGGAAGGAGAAATGGGCTGGGATTTTAGGTATTTGAGGGGATCCACAAATCATCAAAAAATTTCTCCGTATCTTCAGCTCTTCAAGTCTAGGTTGTGAGCCTCAAGGGGAATGGGGCATGAAGCCCCTGGCAATATGAACCCCATACTGTTCTCCATGTGAATTCAAACTTACGGGAAGTATTGATTTGCCTGCATTGTGACTAAAAAGCCATTTCATCTTTCAATTCAATTCAGTAGTTTTCATATATATTCACAAATACATCTACCTCAGAGACTTGGTGTCTAGTCTTGTGTGCTGGGATACTAAGGAAGTATGAGAATATAGAGAGCGTGAAGATGTGTCCCAACAAATTACCGTATGTTGCAGTTTTGCCTGAGTTCCCTCAAGATGATAGTTGACAAAGGAAGAAACTATAGGAAAAAAAACCATTGGATTATACAATTTGGAATTCTTCTCCTATTAAATATTCATAAATGAGAAAGTAAATACATTCCCTGAAATAATGAAACCTATAGAAGGAAAAAGAGAAAGTCTTTAATTTAAAGAATTGACCAAATAATTTGACGCTTTGCTAAAAGGCACTCATTTTTCACTTGTCAGTTGGTGACTTTGGAAACCTGGCTGATGCTTTATAAAATATAAATGAGCTGCATCATCGACAGTAAAGGTTTCCTGGAGATTCTTTCAATGAATCTAAGCCTCTTCTGTCTCCTCTGTCTGCTTTGTGGACTTAGAGACTCCTAATAGGATTTATTTTGGTTTCCTGAAAGAATAGTATTTTCTACATGGGAGAAAGTAGATAGAGATATGAAACTGGTGAGATTACATTGCACCCTGTATTCACAATTCTAAATGGAAAGTCTCACTATGATTCATATATTTTATCCCAAAAGTACATATTTCTTAGCTCTGTCCACAAAAGTCACCTGTAACAAATGACCGACCCAGTGGCAACAAGCACCCCTAGTGCCCACATTGTATATTTCCATTCAAAGGAACCAGGGAACCTTGGAGAAATGATGGATTCCAGATCTGGGCAGGAAATGTTCTAGAGAAGCCTAGGTATCTTTTCACATACGAAAGTAAAGAAGATAACAAAGGCTACTAGTTTCATGTCAAAGGACCCAGGAGCCAACTTGAAGAACCTAATGTTGACTTAAGTCTGGATAGTTTGAACAGCAATACTACTACGACTAATAATATCTGATTTGAATGAAAACATAATATATGATAAAATTCATAAGTGCACAGACACCACAAAAAAATCTCATTTTTCATCTTTCCCGAATGCTAGAGAACTAACTTATTATGAAAATTGATAAATAAAGGGAAAGAATCTAGTGTTGAATCAAGCTTTCCTGATTGACAGTTTCCTTACCTGAACTCATTGTAACCAAGAAATTGATGACACTTTTTTCTTTAGGTGATTATTCTTCATAATAAGTGAAGAAGGAAAGAAAATGACAATATTCCAACTTTGTAAACCCTTTACTTAAGAAGAATACCTGGGAAGTATTGTTTCCCAGCAAATTGAATCTGAATGGCATCATGCCTGTGGCTCCAGGAAGCATTTTCTTGAATATGCAGGGGAGAGAGGAACTTAGTAAATGGCACTATAGGATGATGACAGCAAATGCCAGACTGGGAATCTCTCTGAAACAAGGAATCTTTCTTATTCAACAAAATTTTCCAAGGAGCAAAAGAGAGAAGGAGTTATGGTTTGAAACAAACTTTAAAAGACTCAATTTGTAGGGTCTGAGTCTGTCATTCTTAACAGTAAATTACTTTATCTTTTAGTAGGGTGGGACCCAGAGTGCCTGGATTGGATCTCCTCTAGCCCAACCACTGAGGACTTGATTTTGACTGCCTCCTTTGAAAGGGCTACATAGAGAGGAGAGTAATAGAGCTAGAACTGTCTGGAGGGTCAGGGTGCCAAAGGCTTAGATAGGGGAAATGGAGGGATACTATGGCGGTAGTGATGTCTGGAGACCCATCTTAATTTCCTGTGGACTGAAAGCTGATTATTAAAGGAATTAATAAGAAAATATTTTACCCAAAGTATTGCTTAAAAGCTATGGTTGCTCTGTTTAGTAATTTCAATTTGAAGAGCCCCCTTTTAAACTTGCGTAGTTATTAATATAAAGAATTATTTTGAGGTATTTAATTTATTAATCTTGATTCTTGACTAAATTATAACATTTATATCTTATTAATATTGATTAATGTTGTAGGCTCATTTTCTAAGGTATATGTTTTTGGCTCTGTGGAAGTGTGTGAAATGTGTACTTTTCCTAGTGCTGTGTGCTTTTTGCCATAGGAGAGATTTAATATTACTCAGTAACCATAACATTGGCTTTAACAGTACTTTTTAGAGATTAAACAGATACCAATCTAGAAAAGTGTAGTTGTTTTTTTAATATTAATTAACTGACAACTTGTAAACAAATGTAATGACGTCCAGTTGTGAAGTCTAGGATAAAAATAATATGGAAACATTCAGAGTTTCTGGAAAAAAAAAAGAGTCAAAACTTAAAAAATGAAAGATGCTGAGTTTCAGGCTGGGCTACATTTTGGTGATGTATTGAAAGCTAGCAGCAGGTTAGAGAATCATCCTCTCAGTCCTCTTCCTCCACAGAGTAAGAACAGCGGTGCTGAGTACCTGATGGAGTTACCCCTTTACCTTCATCTCTGGCATCGTCTCTGCCCTGACAGACGCAGTCATGCTTTACAGATTCTTGTAGCCTGGGAGGAGCCCAGAGCTCTTTCCTGTTCTGTACATCCTATCAGTGCTCTTGTGAGCTTGGACTTTACAGAATTTATTTGGACCACGTGCAACAAGTTCTGCAACTTAGAGGTGCTAACCAGCAGCCAGTTTCACTTAGATCTGCTGTGAAATTCCTGGATTTCACAGAACAGAGTTCTTCTATCCTCAAATAATTAATCACAAATAATTAATCTGTGAGGATGGACTCAGCCACAGACAGCCTTTTATAAGATGAACACGTAAATTCTGGTTTTTGAATCATATTGTATTATATGAATGGAGCAACAGAAGGGAAAAATTCCTCAAGTACTTTTTGTCGTGGAGCATTAAGTTAAAAGTAGAAGTCAGTACACTTTCAAATAAAAACCTAGATTACATCAAATTCCAGACAGGTAGTTATGAAAATCTAAAATCGATATAAACCTGCTTATTCCGTGACTAAAACGAACTTTTATATTACTTGTATTTCAGTCAATCAACAGATCCTTGTTGAGCACTTTGTGACAGGCACCAGGTTTGTAACAATGGAAGTCACACAAGATCCTACTATGTTCAGATCAGGTGGCAATTATTTTTTGAGATCTGACTGCTAGGCATGATACCATGGTCTTGACATACATTATCTGATTTCATGCAGCATTGCTGATAGTCACGTTTATAATTTGTATGGATGATGAGCGCAACAATGAAACAATTATACTCATTTTTTTTCAATGAGATTTTATATAGATTCTACGGCTGAATCTTTTTTAAATGTCTGCAATATGTCAGAATTACCTTTGTATACTCATTTCTTTTTTCTTTCTCTGAAATAATTGACCTCCTTCCTTTTGTATGTAGGTAAAGCCAAACATTGGAAGTGAGGAAAAACTAATATTGTCACGTGTTATGACAGAAAATGCTTTCTGTGTTGGTAAAATCAGATTATCATTGATTGTTAAATTTTTTGTTTAGGCCGTTATGTAGCTTGGTTAATTTCTATCATCACCAAGCAAGGAGTTGTAAGTTAGAACTCAGCTTCCTGGTTCTTCCCTTTTATTACTAATTTCTTTCAAATCGTAGGTTTTCAGATCAGTGAAATGTTTGAAAAAGCTGTAAAAAGCAGTTC